AAAATAAACCCAAGTATTGTCATGGAAGTCATATGAAGAAATAAAAATGATACCAAATGCCTCACATTTCACATGTAGATATCATGGGGTATACTTTCTAAAAATTTCACAATGCTTAATAAAAATAAGCATTGTGAATATAACATAGGCCATGAGGAAAAGTTTTTTCTTTTTCTTTTTTTATCGAGAGTCTCACTTTGTCACCAGTGGTTAGAGTGCTGTCGTGTCATAACTGACAGCAACTTCAAACTCCTGCTCAAGTGATTATCTTGCCTCAGCCTCCCAAGTAGCTAGGACTACAGGTGCCTGCCACAATACCCGGCTATTTTTAGAGACAGGGTCTTGATCTTGCTCAGGTTGGTCTGAAATCTGCAAGTTTAGGCAATCTATCCACCTTGGCTTCCCAGAGGGTTGGGATTAAGGCATAAGCCTTTATCTTTTTCTTTTTTTCTTTTGAGACAGAGTCTCAAGCTGTTGCCCTGGGTAGAGTGTAATGGTGACATCACAGCTCACAGCAACCTCCAACTTGAGCTCAAGCAATCCTCTTCTATTTTTAGTAGAGACAGGGTCTGAATTTTGCTAAGGCTCATGTCAACTTGTGAGCTCAAGCAATCCACCTGCCTTGGCCTCCCAGAGTGCTGGGATTAGAGGTGTGAGCCACTTCTTGTGGCCACAAGTTTCGAATTTCTGATACTTTGTTGCTGAAAGTAAGAGATAATGGTATAGAGTTAACATATTCATATAAATTGTGTTAAGTGACAACAAATAGTGTCATCTGAGTACCTCCCTAAATAAAATGCTGATCAGGCAGTAGAGTAGAATCAGTCATATAATATTTTATCCACCTTCTGCATTTCATATAAACTAGCACTCTGGGAGGCCGAGGTAGGTGGATAGCTTGAGCTCACAAGTTCGAGACCAGCCTGAGCAAAAGAGAGACCCTGTGTCTACTAAAAAATAGAAAAACTGAGATAACAGGATTGCTTGAGCCCAAGAGTTGGAGATTACCGTGAGCTATGATGCCACAGACTCTACCCAGGGCAATAGCTTGAGATACTGTCTCAAAAAGTAAAATAAAACAGGCTTGGTGCTCACAGCTCAGTGGTTAGGGTGCCGGCCATATATACTGGGGCTGGTGGGTTTGAACCAGGCCCGGGCCTGCTACACAACAATGACAACGACACCAAAAAAATAGTCAGGCTTTGTAGCAGGCACCTGTAGTCCCAGCTACTTGGCAGCTGAGGCAAGAGAATCGTTTGAGCAAGAGTTTGAGGTTGCTATGAGCTGTAATGCCACAGCACTCCATTGAGGGTGACATAGTGAGACTTTGTCTCAAAATAAATAAATAAATTTCATATAAAGACAGTTTGTAGTGATTCTTGATAGGTAATTTTATATATGAAAGACTTTACTGTATAAAATATCAGATGTAACAGTTAAGTGGTTCTTTAGTGAAGTAGCCCTAATGTAGAAAAATGTCCTTTTTTTCCCCCACATTTTTTTGGCGGGGGCTGAGTTTGAACCCACCACCTCTGGCATATGGGGCTGGCGCCTTACTCCTTTGAGCCACAGATGCTGCCCGAAAAATGTCCTTTTAAGAACAAAATAAAATAACTCTTTATAATAAAACCCAGAACAGAAACTAAACTAAGATAAAAGCTATAAGATACAATATACATGGCTTAAAGATTTCAGTTCCAGTATGAGAATACATGAGTCAATCAATCATGACATGGCTTTGGCTAACCAATATAAACCAGGGCAAAATTCCAAAGTTTTTACCTTAACTTTTTGTTGGTAAAGATCATCCAGCTTTTGAACTTCTTCTTTCAGAGTTCTCACACTTCTCTTGCTTTCTGTCGTCATTGCCTTCAGCTTCGGGAATAAAACTTTGGTTGAGAAATCATAGCCATACCTCAAAGACATCTTAACAAGTTATGGTGTTTTTACATTAACAATCAATTAACTAAACATTGTTATTTCTTCTAATTCTTTTAGACTCTTCACAGAACATTTGTCAAGAATTTTTATTATTTCAAAAAGAGGAATTAATTGCTAAGAAATCTTAAAAGAAGGATGATAATCTGTTTTTCTTTCTTTTTTTTTTTTTT